AAATACATAACTTACTTATTAGTTTTTAAGTTTACTCCAGGGGATTCATGAATATCCACAGTGCTCATGCTGTCCCCCAATCATCACTGTCAGTTTCCAAATCCTGTGAACTACTTGGTCCTGACTTCTGCTTGGCAGGTGGCAAAACCCTGCTCAGGCACTCCCTTCCCCCACCACCCCAAATCCCATGGGGTTAACGTGAGAGGAAAGCTAAAGCCCGGTTCACTGGGGTGGAAACTGAGGCTCAGGCCGGCCCAAAGCCTTGAGCAATTAAAGAAGTAGGCCAGAAACCCGACTCCCAACCTGCACTGTTTGTAGCCCCCAGTTCAGCTTTCTTGTAGCCCCCGCTTTCATCTCCACACCTGCGCACATCGGCTGCTGCCCCATCTCCAAGTGAGAGTAATTGCTGTCGTTTGATTCGCCCATCGAATGTCGCCTGCTCGGAGGGGTGGGGTGTTCTGGGTCTCTGCTGTCCACATATCTAAGAATTCCAGGTAAAAGCACAGCAATAATGACAATAGCAAAAATACACATCTTGTTGATACATGCTCAATTGCAGTCTGTGGGAAAGAACCCCCCCCCTCTCTCTGTGTGTGTGTGTGTGTGTGTGTGTGTGTGTGTGTGTGTGTGTGTTTTGGGACAGGTTTTCTCTATATAACAGCTCTCGTTGTCCTGGAACTCACTCTGTAGAGCAAGCTGGCCTCCAAGTCACACAGATTCCTACTGCCTCTGCCTCCCCAGCTCAGGGATCAAAGGCGTGAGCCACCACCAACCAGCCTAGAACCTGCATTCTCAGCACTGGCTCCAAGGCCCTGATGCCTCCAGGAATCAGACACAAACTGGGAAAGCCCAGGGTCTCTGTAATGAAAGCAACTCAGTCTTCTCTTAGGAAGCGCTTCCCCTAGACCTCAAGTAGATTTAGATCTTTCGATTTCTATTCTCTGAGAGTAGAGAATCCTAGGGAGGCTCATCCACGGGGGGGGGTGTTAAGCAGCCGATTGAAGGTGACCCCCCCTACAACCTGGGCTTCAGATCCTGGTTAAGCCACCTATCTTCTGGTTGACCTTGGGCCAGGTGAGTAACTCTGTGTTAAATGAGCCAAAGTAGTGTCTAAGAACAAGTTACTGCAGGAAGTACAGTGTCCTCCACAGGACCACAACACCATCAAAGAACAGACTGTCAAACTCTTGGCTGTCCCATGCCCTCCTCACAGACCCCCAGTATTGGGACCCACTCCAATGTCCTTTTCCTTCCTGCAATGGAACTGGTGTCACCTAGAATACTTGCAGATCCCACCACCCAAGTGCTGTGTTACCACCACCTTGACCACCACAAACACCCACAATCCATCTTCCTGCTGCCGGCTGGAGCTTGGGCCTGGGTCCTGAGAATGAGGCTCTGGGGTGCTGGGCTGGGCCTTGAGGGAGCAGCAGACCCATACTTATGGTCACCAGCCTGTGCTGAGACCAGCACAGGGGCCGTACTCTAATCGCTGGGGTTGACTCTTTCTGATGAGAAGGCTGGAGCTCAGAGGTTGGAAGCACTGAGGAAGCCAGGAGCCCTGCCAAGGCCTCAGGGTTTCAAGGCTGGGTGGGCATCTCCTCCTCCACTATTGAGTCAACTCCTGCGTGCCTGGTTATCATGGTCCCCGTGCAGACACATAAATGATTCAGTCAAAGGACTCATGGGTAGGGTACATGGATGGTAATCAGAAGTATGGATATCAGTAGATAGCCAGTTTCCCAATCATTTACCCTGGACAAATGGAGAAACTGAGGCACAGAGTGCCCCCCCTACAGTGGATGACACCCAGACCAACTTATTCTGGGACAACCTGCCCTAACATCTTAGAATCCTGCTGGGTGACCCAGGCTGTGGTCTGGAACAACCTGACTGTCTGCACACAGAGACCTAACAGAACTCTCCAAAAGGATTGGTCTGCCGGCAGTGTTCCTGGAGAGAGCCCAGCCAGAGCCACAGATCAGGAGCTGAGGCTACTGGTGCAGTGCAGGGAGCAGGCACCAGGGCCCAGCAGACCCTCCCTGGTGGCCCTGGCTCTGCAGAAGGAGGGACTTGCAAGGTGATGCAGAGCTGCGCTCAGATGGTTCCAGCTCAGTGAGATCTGCAGCCCAGGGGCCCTGGGTGCTGCCTGGTGATGTCCCCGCAGTGAGGTGGAAGCAGAGGCAATGAGGAAGGCCTCTGGCCCCAACTTCCACAGCTGGCCCTGGAGAGAGACCAGGAGCAGGCTGGGGCTTCTGGTTAGGAAGGGTTGGTGGGAGAGGTCAAATGGAAGGTGACAATCCAGGGCAAGCCTGTGACATAATTCACTGACAAGATAGCTGGGGTGGTGTCACAAAGGCATTTGGTGGATGCTGACTTTTACGACAGAGACTGAGAATATTGTTCTGGTGTGGAACAGGGAGCAGAGAATTTAGGCACTGAAGTACAGACACTGCCAGTCACCGTGATCCCCAGCACAACCCTAGTCAATCCCACTTATAGAAAGGTAACCAAGGCCTGAGTAATGCAACGATGGCCTACATAGGTGTGGTAGGGTGTCTCCATCTCAGTACCGGGGAACTTACCATATCCTCCTCCTGGGTTCCAAGAACCAGCAGGGAGGTCCTGTTCTGTTTCATGCATAGACCCTTGAATGACATTAGCCCCCAGAGAACAGCAGAGAGGATGAAGGAAGCCACCTCTGGGCAGAGGGAGGAACATCAGGCCCTAACTAAGGTATGGTCTGATCTAGCCAGCACCTGGAAAGCCACTCCCATCCCCACAGGACAAAAAGCCCAGGGAGGCCATATACCTCACTTGCCCTCCCTCTCCTTCCCCTGCAGCTGATAGCAGGCCAGGCCCCTCCCCTCCTCTCAGACTTCCCCAGAGGCAGGAGGACTATCTCTATAACACCAGAGTAATGAACAGTTAGAGTAGATTCATAATGTACCAGACATGTAGCTTTTCATCCAATTCTAGCAATATTGTTATCAGCATTCATTGTATAGTGAAGTGTCATACTTTTTTATTCAAGTACAGCATGAACTTTGACCACACCCATCCCCCATACTCTCCCTTCTCCCAACTCTTGAGTCTTCTTCCTTCTTGTATATAAATGACCTTATACATCTACATGGAATGAGACCCAGAGGACATGAGGTCACTTCCCAGAACCACATCAGGTAGCTCAATGGCCTCTAACTCCAGCTCTCTGGCCTCTGTGGTATAGTAATGTACTCTCTCTCTCTCTCTCTCTCTCTCTCTCTCTCTCTCTCTCTCTCTCTCTCTCTCTCTCTCTCACACACACACACACACACACACACAAACACACACACAAAGAATAAATACTAGGGCTAGCCCTCGTGGTGGTGGGGGTGCACGCCGTTAATCCCAGTTGTTTGGGAGGCAGAGGCAGGTGGATCTTTGAGTTCAAGGCCAGTCTGGTCTCTAGAGAGAATTACAGGGCAGACAGGACTACAGAGAGAAACCCTGTCTCCAAAACAAAACAAATCCTAGAAAACAAAGCCTAGGATCTACAAAGTGAGAGAAAAGAACAGTATCTGTCCTTCTGTGTCTGGTTTGTTTCCCTTAGCATGTTTTCCAGCCCCACCCATTTCCCTGCTATGACATAAGTCCACTCTCCTTCGGGTTGAAGAAGGTGTCACTGTGTTTATAGTGATTTGAAAAGAATGGCCTCCATACTCACATGTTTGGATGCTTGGTTCCCAGTCGGTGGAACTGTTTGGGAAGGATTAGGAGGTGTGGCCTTGTTGGAGGAGGTGTGTCAGGGGGTGGGAGGCTTTGAGGTTTTGAAAACCCATGTCAAGCCTAATTAGTGCTCTCTCTCTCCTGCTCCCTCCCTCCCACATGTGGATTAAGACATGAGCTCTCAGCTATTCCCAGCCACCACCATGTTTTTGCTCAACCATCATGGACTCTAACCCTCTCAAACAATATGCACAATTAAATTCTTTCTTCACAGCAATACAACAGTGACTAAGGCAGTGTGTATGGGCCATTCTCTTTTCTTTTACATTTTCTGGGGACATAAACATCAAGGCTGATTCCATAACTTATAACCCAGCTGTTGTGAATAGTGTAATAAAAACTTTGGATATAAAAGTGTCTCTGTGATGTGTTAAGGGTCTGTAGGCAGCCAGGCATGGTAGTACACACATTTAATCCCAGTACTCAAGAGGCAGAGGCAGGGAGACCTCTGAGTTCCAGGTAGTCTGGTCTCCAAAGCAAATTCTAGGACAGCCAGGGCACAAAGAGAAATCCTGTCTTGAAAAGCTAAACCTAAACTAAATTTGTTTTTATCAATCCCTAGCACTTGTGCCAGAAGCCTGGCATGGTAGCGTATACCTGCAATTCTAGCCCGGAGACAGGAAGGTGGGAAGATCCCTGGGGCCTACTGACCAGCTAGTTGAATCAGCAAACTCCAGGTTCAATGAGACCCTGTGTCAGTAAATAATGCAACGAGTAACTGAGGAAGATATTTAACATTGATCACTGACCTCCACAGCCACACAATCTCACACAGCCACACACACAGCCAGACAGCCAGACACACACACACACACACACACACACACACACACACACACACACACACACACGAACCTGCTTTGGACAATTCCTTATCTTGGACCTCTTGAAAATCCACCCATATGATCCTGCAGCTTTGGGAGATCCTAGTCCCAGTCTGCTCACCGGAGGGCTGTGGTGGCAGGAGTGCACCATAGTGCTTGCTGTGAACACAGTAGGTCATCCCAACACCATCCCTCACCCTCATACAGCTGGGACCCCTCTTCAGAAGCTGCTGCCAGCAGAGACATGCTAGAGGGCTCCTTAGTATCGCCCCAGGCTGAGCAGAGAACACCTGCAGCCTCAGAGGCCAGGGTGGCCTGAGCCCCAATTCTGGATCTTCCACAGATTCAGCAGAAGCCCCTCTCCTCCTTCTCTCTGACACCATCACAATGGTCCCAGAGGGAGGGGCAGGGAGTGAAAAGCCCTAGGACCTCGTCCCGGGCCCAGACAACAAAGACACCCCCACCCACCACCAGTTTTCTCCCCAAATCCCAGTGACACCAAAGGTTCCCATTGGAACCATAATTTCTTCACTTGACAAAGGCAGAAACTGGGATCCAGAAAGGAGAAGGTGCCGACGGTGCCTAGCCAGAAGTGGTAGTGCTGGCACCCACCTTTGGGTTAGTCCAACTTCAGAGGGAGGCTCTAGATCACTCGGGGAGCAAGCATTGGAGTCACTGCAGATGCAGATATTTGGATGCGTCTGGAGTCACCAGGGATCTGCTGAGTAAGGGAGCAAATTTTGTGCTCATTAGAAATTCTCAGACCTGGGGAAAGAGCTTGGCTGGCATGTGTGAGTTCCAGGGGTCACGCCCAGAAGCGCAGTGGGGGTACAGACAGAGGGTAAGAGGAGGAGGAGGAGCAGGTGGAAGAAAAAAGAGAAGCAAGAAGAGGAGGGAGAGCGAGAGAGGAGGGGAGGGGAAGTGGAGCTGAGCAGAGCACAGGGAGGGGGAAAGAGAAATTCTCAGAGAATGTAGTCTGCTGAATCTCAGGTTGTCTTATCATCACAAAGCACTCAAGATGGAAGGCTGGCTGGGGGTGTAGCCCAATGGTAAGATACTTGTGTGTATGAGGCTTTACATCCCATCCTTAGCCCTAGGTGTGTACACACACACACACACACACACACACACACAGTGTATGGAGGATGGTGGTACAAGCCTGTAATCCCAGCACTGATGTCTAAGGGTTTCTATTGCGGTGACCACACATCTTGACCATAAACATCTTGGAGTTTATTTCAGCTCAGTCTCGGGATATACTCCATTGCTAAGGAAAGTCAGAGCCAGAACACGAGGCAGGAGCTGATGCAGAGGCCATGGAGGAGTGCTGCAGATTACTGGCTTGCTCCCCATGGCTTGTTTAGCCGGCTTTATTATAGAACCCAGGGGTGGCACCACCCACAATGGGCTGGGCCAGCCCACATAAATCACTAGTTAAGAAAATACACTGCAGACCTGCCCAGAGGCCAATCTTGTAGAAGTATTTCAGGTGGGATACCCCACCATTCATTCACTAATGCCCTCCCATGCCCAAATCCTGGGCTCCTAGATTCAAGAACCACTCCCTGCTCCCACAAGCTCATGGGCTGGGAAGGATCAGATGTAGGCACCAGTGACTCCCGTACATGCTACTGCCTAGGTCATAGGATACACACTTGGCAAGCCCTTGAGTGGGGCAGGGGTCTTCCAGAGGCAGGCTGTGAAGTTTCAAATTCTAGCTCTGTATTTGGCAGGTGCTATTCTTTCAGTGCTGAGGATGGCACTTGGGACCTCATGGGTACTAACAAGCACTCTCCCATGGAGCTACGCTCCCAGCCCCAGGTATCGAGTGACTCAGCCTCTTCCAAACCCAGCTGGCACCAATTCTTTGCTGCACTGTTGCGGCATCTAAACAAAGGAACGTGTGCATGGGACTTAACAGCATCTGAGCGGGCAGTTGAGACCAGATGTAAAGGAACTTCTGCTTTAGGGACACTGCTTAGAAGGGACATCCCTAGGAGGGCTTCAGAGATTCTGGGCTAGACGATCTGAAGGAGCCTGGGACTCAGCATAACAGACAGTTAAAGTGGGAGAGTATTTTGCATATGTGTTGCACACACATTTGGGTTTGGGTGGGCATGTGTGGTCAGAGCTGAGGCAGAATTTGGACGCATTCCTGGCAAATGTCTTCCACATTGGCATCGCTTGCCTTTGAGCAAGTGCCACACTGCTGTCCGGCAGTCTATGTCCTCACACAGCCTGACTGCAGAGTGACAAGTCAGAGTGTACTGTCCCAGGAAGGAGGAGCTTCATATCCACCCAGCCTGGTGTTGTAATCTTATGTATCTATTTGTAAGAGACAGGGTCTAATGTATCCAAGGTCATCCTCAAGCTTGTTGTGACCTGAGGATGACCTTAAACTTCTGATCATCCTGCCTCTATCTCCCAAGAGCTAAGATTACAGACATGCCCACCATGCCCAGCTGATAGGGGCCAGTTGAGTTGTATCCCTAGCTCCCACAGACCTAGCTCAAAGTTCAGCCTTGCCTCATTGATCTATCAAACCTGACCATCGGGAATGAAATTTTCTTGTTTGTCTATTTCTGCTTCATTTTGTTTTCAAGACAGCATCTCACTATGTAGCTCTGGCTGTCCTAGAACTCACCATGTAGACCAGGCTGGTCTCTCCACCTCCCAAGTATTGGGATTAAAGGTGTGTACCACTATGCCCAGCCAGGAATGAACTTTTAAGCCAAATGCTAATTATTTCCAGTTCCAACAACTCCCTCTAGACTCTGGCACTGACTCTTCCGGACTGTGGACTTCCTCCTCCTCTGACACCGAGATGAAGCATCAGTGTGGTGAGGCCACCACCTCTCCAGCCCCTCCCCCTACAACCTCAGCAGGCACATTGTTTCTCTGACCTCAGTGTCCTGCTCTGCAGAAGGGTGACCCTGCGCACCCAGCAGAGCTGCGGCCAGTACCACATGTGTCAGCAGCCGGAACAAGCAGGCAGGTGCTCACATCCTGAAGCTGTCGACTGCTTCCTTGTGGCTCAGATTTACACTGTGAAAATCAATCATCCCCTCATCATCACTTTTGACTTAGGCGTCTCCAGGACGACTGGGCATATCAGAAAGCTGAATTCACCACAATTTTGACCTCCTGACTATGCCATCTGGGAATTCTCCATCTCCCATACCTAGATAGAGATAAAAACCTAAGTGCAGAAAACCCAAAGCCATTTCTCAACTCCCCTTGCTCCCAGCAGGTGCCAGAAAGGACCGCAGAGCAAAGCTTCCAGCCAGTTGTAATGGACCGGGAAAGTGCTGGCTCCCCAGGCTCCCTGTGAAAGTCAAGTGTGATGGCAGTCTCTCAGTGGAGCATACCTGCGGCACAGCCCAGACACTGAACTTGGATCCCAGTTTACACCACATTCTAGACGTGTGATTTGGGGCAAGTTACTCACCCTCTCAGAGAGTAAGTGTGTACAGTAAGAGAATTTGCCTTCTAGTGCGGATGGTATGAAAGGGCAGGCATAAACGCAGAGGCACTGGCCAGGGCTTGTGGCACATGTCTACAATCCCAGAACTTAGGGGCAGAGACAGAGGGAGTACAAGTGTGAGTCCAGCTTAGGCAATATGGAGAGCTCAAGGCCAGCCTAGGCTATGCAGTAAGATCTTGCTTTAAAACAAAACAAGAGAGGCCCAGCGGTTAAGAGAACTAACTGGATGCCCCTGGACCCAGGTTCATTTCTGAGCACCCATGGGACAGCTCACAACAACCTGCAGATCCAGTCCCAGGGGATCTTTCATCCTCTTCTGATGTCCACACACTCCAGGCACACACAGTGCAGACATACGTGCACAGAAAACACTCACACATGAACTAATATAACTAATAAAAGATAAATAAGACCAAGAGCTGGGGGTATAGCTCAGAAGCAGAGCACTTGCTAGCTAGCATTAACAAGGTCGCTGTGTTTGACTCTTAGCATAAACAAATAAATAAATACCACCCTCCCTTTCCATAGACCACGAGCTTCACATATGCGGCTACGTAGCTTCCTACTCTAGGTAAGGAGAGTTCTAAGAGCCACAAAGGACTTGTGATGAGCAAGCCCCACTGAGTCACTAGAGGTCCACCAGGACAACAAACTGTTTCACTCCCCATCTCAGAAGCCACTCAACCAAAACAGCCCAGAATAGGTGTTGGAGCTGGAGGGTACGGGGTGAGCCAGACCTGTGGACCCACTCACCAGCACCCAGCCTTTGAGGCAGAATTCAGCTTCCCTGTCCACTGAGTCCCAGGGTATCAGATGTGTGGGCTGGACGCAGAATTACAGAAGGTTTCATTCGCACTGGGCAGTCCAGAGCTGGTAAGGCCCTAGGTAGATTTGGGAGGGAAAGAGGCAAAACTGTGCACAATTCTGTCTTTGCAGCTTGCTTCCTCCAGGATGTGGGGAGGGTACCTCCTCTTTACTACAGTCATATCCAAATGAGGCAAAAAGAGGATGCATCTTAGAAATCAGAGGTTGGAAAGGGAAAGAGGGACAGGAGGAATGAAAGCTAAGGAGAAAGGAGAAGGCACATGGAAGAAGGAGAAGAGAGGAGAGGAGGGGAGGAGAGGAGAAGAGAGGGAAAGACAGGAGGGAAGAGAAGGGGAGAGGAAAGAGGATGGGGATGAAGCAGAGAAAGGGACAAGGGACAGAGTCAAAGGATGTAGGGTACTATGGCCACTGAAGAGAAAGATGCAAAACAAATTAATAGATTTCATGGACATAAAATTGCTGAAAAGGCGAGTCTACAGTTACAAAGTGGGCAGGGCCTGAACCTCAGCAAGGGTGACCATGTAGGGGCTGGACGAGAGGTCGGGAACTGTCCGCATGCCTGGTCAAATGTTCCTGTTAATTAGACAGAGCATTGCTATCATTTCATAATTCCTTGCTAAGCACCTACAGTATGCAACCATTATTTTAAGCACCGGAGGAAATCAGCAGTGCATAACATAGATAGCTTTTTTTTTCTGTACAACTTATATCGTATGGTAATGTAAGATACAAGAGCAGGTACACCTTAGTTAGAAAAAGAGAAGCATCTGGGTTGGGGAGATGGCTCAGTGGGAAAGATGCTTGCTGCCAAGCCAAAGTTATTCTCTGACTTCCACACACATGCACGTGTGCGTGCACACACACACACACACAAATGCAATAAACCCTTGAGAAAGAGAAAAAGGCATTTGAGAGGTAGAGACAGAAGGATCATGAGTTCAGGGTAAAGTTTCAGCTCTATACTGAATTTAAGGCCAGTGTAGGCTACCAGATACAGGAAAGAGGAAGGGAAGAAAAGGCTGTTAGGTAGGTTTGAGTGCTGGAACCCACATGGTGGAAAGGGAGAGCCAAGTTCTCCTCCGATCTCCGTACACATACATAAAGAACTAGATAAATAAAGACATAGGCAAACGTGTGGTGTTTTCAACGAGATGCCCCCATGTTCTTGGAAACCTGAATACTTGGTCCCCAGTTGGTGGCCCCATTTAGGGAGGCTTAGGAGGTATGGCTTTGTTGCACCCCTGGGGGTGGGCTTTGAGGTTTAAAAAAAACCACATGCCATTCCCACTCATCTCTGTTTGTTGCTTGTGGCTTGAAATGGGAGTTCTCCGCTGTTCCTGCTGCCAGGACTCCCTGACGGTGACGAACTCATCCCTCTAGATTGAACCATAAACCCCAATAATCCCTTCCTCTCATAACTTGCCTTGGTCATTTGTTTTTATCATAGCAACAGAGAAGTGGCTAGTGTGAAATGCAATACTTTTTTAAAAACAAAGAGGAGTGTTTGACAAGCATGAGGGCCTGAATCTGACACTTGACACTAAAAACGAAACGTAAGTCAAGGCATGTTGATGCTGGGTCACAGGGCTCACAGCAGAGGCCATACCCCTTCCCGATCTCCTGAAAGTTGCCATTCTCCTAGGACTTCTCCCTCTGACAGCTGGGCCTCCACTGTGGAAGAGAAATGGGTATGTGCAGTACTGGCTTAGGCCTGGGTGATCTGAGACCCTGCGTTCTGTCATATTACTGAGTTAACTCAGATAACCGGCTCCCTCACTCAGGCCTCAGTTTACATGTCTGTAAAGTTGGAAGACGGATCCCTGCACAGCAGAGGAGTACCACAGAGGCGGCACTAAGGAAGATATAGTATGAAAATTCTCGACTGTACACATGGGAGGAGAGGAACCCCCTTGCCCAGCAGCCTCGTTCTTCAGTTATCAGAACTGGCCAGCAATACTGACTGAGAGAAGTGGAGACAGCAGCACCTGTGGGTACTCACAGGGGGCTGTAGTTTCATCTTTAACCCTGCAAATGTTCCTGAGGAGCACCAGCCAGGTCCATGGAATATAGGCAGCAGCCCTGGGACAGCAGAGGTGAGTTCTCCACCGTGGGCCACTGGGACTTTGTCTGGGAGACATTTGAAGAAAGATGAGCTTAAGAGCAAATAAGCTTGGGTACTCCAGTGTGTACACTTGCCTCTGGGAGAGTCCCCGGGCTCATCACAAGACCTGGCTCTGAGAAGACATACTGCAGTAACTCTAGTTAGCGTACTTAGCCATGACATCCCCACCTCTTACTCTAGTCTAAGCTGGCCTGAAACTCACTATATAGTCCAGACTGATCTTGAACTTATAGTAATCCTCCTGTCTCAGCTTCCCAAGTGATAGAAGTAGTAAGTAATCACACTGGCTTCTCTTTTCCTTTCTGTTGGAGGAATAGCCAACATATTCGTTAAAAGGTTCATCTTGGCTCACAGATTTGGAGGTTCTGGTCCAGGATCAGTTGAGCCCACTGCTTTGGAGTCTGTGGTAAGGCAGCATAAGGGTGTGAAAAAACTCACTCCATGACCAGGAAGAAAAAGAAATAACGATGCCAGTCATGGTGGTGCACACCTGTAGTCTTGACTCCTACACAAGCAGGTCAAGAGTTCAAAGATAGTCTGGGACGAAAAGTGAAGACCCTATCAAAAACTAACAAAAAATGACTGTAATACCAGCACTCAGGAGGCTGAGACAGGGGTATGGAGAGTTCAAGGGCAGTGTGGGCCACATAATGATACCCTGCCTCAATAAACCAATAAAAATGCCTGCAACACCAACACTCGGAAGCCTGAGACAAGAGGACAGACTTTAAAACTAGCCTAAGCTATATGGAAAGACCCTGTCTGTAAAGAAAGAGGGAGAGTGTCCTGAACAGTTTTATGTCAACTTAAATAGTTTTATGTTATCTGAAAGGAGAGAACCTCAGTTGAGAAAATGGCTCCATCAGATCTGGCTGTAAGGCATTTTCTTAGTGATTGATGGGGGAGGACCCAGCCCACAGTGGGTGATGCCACCCCTGGGCTGGTGGTCCTGGGTTCTATAAGAAAGCAGGCTGAACAAGCCATGAGGCACAAGCCTATAAGCAGCACCCTCCATGGCTTCCGCATCATCCCCTACCTCCAGGATCCTGTCCTGACTTCCTCCAGGGAGGGACCATGATGTGGAAGAGCGAGCTGAGATAAGCCCTCTCCACCCCAACTTGCTTTCTGGTCATTCATCACAGTAACAGAAGCTCTCACTAACACAGAGAGAAAGGGAGGGAGGAAAGGAAGAGGAGGAGGAAGGGAGGAGAGGGAGGAGGGAACACGGGGGTGGGGGGGAAGAGGAAGGAGAACCTGGGACTCACAGCCTCCTTCAGGAGCATGCACATAGTTTCTAAAGACTTGAGTAGGACATAATGCTTAAAAATTTCACCATCTTCCAATGGCAACTTCCTGGGAACTAAACCTCTAACATAGAATATTCAGGATTCAAGTCATACCTGGAATCACCTTAAAGCTACCCTGGGACATTCTGGGCTAAGATCTGAGAAAGATTGAGAATTGTCTCAAGGAGACGCCTGGGAAAATGGGCTTATGGGATTCAGTGACATCATCATCTCATGTGTGCCTATCACACAACAGAGGCTTAATAAGCAATTAACGGATGGATGGCTAGACATTGTCTTATTCACTGATAAATGTTAAGAATGCAGGAAAGAAGGCAAAAGGTATTTGAACCACAAGGTCTTAGAGAAGAATCATTCTTAGTTCTCACCCATTCACCCATCCATCCACTCACAATGACAGGTTGGTAAGGATACTGTAGGGATTAGCATGGGGACCACAGAACCTCAGGACACGTGATAAATTGGTAAGGATACTACTAGGGATTAGCACTGGGGACCACAGAACCCAGGAGGGGATGATGACCTGAGCCCAGGGTGATGGAGGCCACAGACAGCTTTCTGAAGGTGAGTCTGAAGGACTGACCAGAGGTCCAGCATTCATGCCATTTTATAGCCACAAAAGCCACACCTGGTTCTTCTCAGAATCCACATGTTACCTGCAATCTAATGGTCCCCCCTTTACCCCACATTCCCCTCGTTCCTTTTTTTTTTCTATCAACTGCTTATCAGACTTCCCACACCCAAGAAAAGCATGGGCAGTCTGCAGACAGCTGTAGAGACTCAGGGGAACAAGGATCTAGTGGCGAAATTCCAAGCAGGATGAAAAGTAAACGGGGAGCAATCTGGATGCAAGGGGCATTCCTACCCAGGCCCCCTCCCCATGACATCTTTCAGTGTCTCAGACAAGCCGCCTGCCTCACCCTGGAGACATTTGCCAACTAGCCTTTGTGTCCCTGCAAACAGCAGCATGACTGGACCTTTAAACTGGGAAACTGCTTCATCATGTTCTGCTTCGCCATGAAAAACTAGGAACTCCCTCCCCCTCCTCCCTAGTGCACTCTCCTTCCAGTAAAACGTGGTTAAAGGGACAGTGCCATCGCCTCCCTAGCTATGAGGGTTAGACTGCAGTCAGGGGCTGGGGATAAAACAGAGGGCAAGGTTAGGGGCAGGCAGAGGTCTTTCTTAGTCAGTCTGTCAGTTTCCGTCTTGAGGATCCCTCTAGAAAGAGGACCAGTAAACTGGGGTGCAGTGGGGCTTGAGGTAATTTCCTGGGAGAAGTGCAGCGTGGTCAGTGGGCATTCGAGTGGGCTTCTCTCTGCTCGGGTAGAGGAGGCTCGCAGTGCAGGAGACAGAGCTTCAGAGACAGCCAGGAGCTGGACAGGATATGCAGGGGTGGGTCACTTAGACGCAAGGGTAGATCACTTCAAGAGTGTGCCGTACGACTCATCTGCTCCTCGGTTCCCATCCCTACAGCACAGGGTTGCAGCTTGGGGAGAGCTTCAAAGCTCCCCACTCTGCGAGGCCTAGATCAACCCTTTCCACTGGTCTCTGTCCATGGTGCTGAAGCGATAGCGGCACGGAAGCCTCCACTAACATGCCATTTGACAGGAATTGTAGACCAAGACCGAGCCACATGACAGAGCAAGGGCTCCAAATACGACACCCCCCCCCCCCCCGCCGCGCTTCCACCCGAGGGCTCATGAGGGCGGTGGGCTTTGGCACTGAGAAACCACCCATCACTTCCTCGGGATCATGAAGGGAAGCCTACGGTACTGGCTAATGTGGAGATAGGAGAGGGATGACAAGATGAAACAGAAAAATCAGCAAGGAAGGGAGAAAGACAAACTTCTCCGGTGTGGGAATGTGGGTGCTGGATAACCACTGGCAATGTGGGCTCCCCCCCAAATTCAACCAGAGATCCCCCAAGCCGGATGCTCCTGAGGCTACTTGGGGGTTGGAATTGCATCTTGTCTCTGTGGTACACAAGGGAAAACCAAGCAGGAGAGAACACGTTTGCACAAGGTCATTCCGCTAGCAAGGCGCAGCGCTGACCCCCTCCCCCCGCCCTGTTTGCAGAACCTGGCTTGGGTGCTCTCTGACTGCACACTCAGAGCAGCGTCTCGCTGCCTCCTCAGGGACCCTCTGCTTCTTCTCGGGCAGTGTCACTTGCTGGGCAAGGTGCGGTCTCTACTTCAGTCTCAGCCACTGGACTTTTGGAGAGCGCCAAGTCCCCGTCCCCCCCCCCCGCGTTCCCTTTCTCCTGCAGTTGCTTAGTTCCCTCAGGGTAGCTCTTTCGGGCTCCCCGACCCCTCTCCCTACCCCGATGTTAGCTGTAGAGTTCCACAAGCCCCTCCGGAGTGGCCGCTCTAACTATCACCAGGGAAACACTGCACCTCCAGCTAGAGGGTCCCCATCTACCCTCGTGCAACACCATTCAGAATCCCTTCGTGGGTGGTTGCGGTCTCTGCACTCTTCATCTCGAGGTCCCCTCTAACTACTAGGGAACCTTGTGTCGCCTCTCATAAGGGGTCCTTGCTTACTAACCATTGCAGAGTCGCTTCAACCCGCAGCCAACCTGCCCCATCAGTTCTCAAGCCTTCTCCCTACTTCCAGTGCCCCTCTTATTCTGAGCACACCAAGAGGGTCTTCCTACATGCACCTGGAGGTCTGCACTTGTCCGCTCCAGAAGTCCTTTACTCCTTGGTCTGACCTCGGAAGGCTTCACTGACGATGCGGCGATTCCCCTTCACTCCTGGGTGTCCCCCCCCAACCCCGCCCATCTCACTGCGGCGGAGCCGGTCCGCCCGGGGCCGCGGGGGAGGAGGTGCAGAGGGCGGGGCCCTGCTCCCCAGCCCCCCACTGCCGAGGGGCCGGCCCCGGCCACCGCGGATATAAAAGAGCGGGGCGTCCCGGAGCTGCCGCAGTGCTGCCCGTCCCGCCCCGGCCCTTCGCTCCCGCTCTGCCGGCGGCCGCACCTGCTTCGGCCATGACGAGCTTCGGCGGCGCCGATGCGCTGCTGGGCGCCCCGTTCGCGCCGCTGCACGGAGGCGGCAGCCTGCACTACCCGCTGGGCCGCAAGGCGGGCACCGGAGGCACGCGCTCCGCGGCCGGCTCCTCCAGCGGCTTCCACTCGTGGGCGCGGACGTCCGTGAGCTCCGTGTCCGCCTCGCCCAGCCGCTACCGCGGAGCCGGCGCCGCCTCGAGCACCGACTCGCTAGACACACTCTCCAACGGGCCGGAGGGCTGCGTGGTGGCGGCGGCGGCGGCGCGCAGCGAAAAGGAGCAGCTGCAGGCTCTGAACGACCGCTTCGCGGGCTACATCGACAAGGTGAGGCAGCTCGAGGCGCACAACCGCAGCCTGGAGGGCGAGGCGGCGGCGCTGCGGCAGCAGCAAGCCGGCCGCGCCGCCATGGGCGAGCTGTACGAGCGCGAGGTGCGCGAGATGCGCGGCGCCGTGCTGCGCCTGGGGGCGGCCCGCGGGCAGCTGCGCCTGGAGCAGGAGCACCTGCTGGAGGACATCGCGCACGTGCGACAGCGGCTGGACGAAGAGGCCCGGCAGCGTGAGGAGGCAGAGGCGGCGGCGCGCGCTCTAGTGCGCTTCGCGCAGGAGGCGGAAGCGGCGCGCGTGGAGCTGCAGAAGAAGGCGCAGGCGCTGCAGGAGGAGTGCGGCTACCTGCGGCGCCACCACCAGGAGGAGGTGGGCGAGCTGCTCGGTCAGATCCAGGGTTGCGGTGCCGCGCAAGCGCAGGCGCACGCCGAGGCGCGCGACGCCCTCAAGTGCGACGTGACGTCGGCGCTGCGAGAGATCCGCGCGCAGCTCGAAGGCCATGCTGTGCAGAGCACGCTGCAGTCGGAGGAGTGGTTCCGAGGTGCGCGGGCGCATGGGGTGGGCAGGGGTCGCCCCCTCCTGGCGGGGCAGCGAGCAGCCAGCCGATGGGTTCACCAACGAGATGGTGGAGGACTCTTCCCGAAAGTAGCTGGACCCTCTGCAAAGTGCATGACACCTCATAAAGTAGCAGTTCTACTTCCCTGGGGGAGGGGCAACCCTGGATTATCCTTTAGTTGCCATCTTCCACATTATTTATGTCTGTACTTAAACGCTGAGCCAACCCTTCTGCTTCCCACACTGTAGGTCTCCCTTTCAAACAGACAAGCCCCATCTAGACACAGGGTATCCAGCACCCACTTGCCCTGCCAACTCTGACCAGCCTTTCTCGCATCAGCACAGAGGGTGGGGCAGGAGTATTCGGCTGACCTACCATTCTTCTCCCCACTACGTTCAGTGCATAATGTCCCCACTTTAATAATCTGCTGGGTGAGACGACAGGGGTCTTTCATTTTCACGCCCTTCTAGCCAGCATGGAACCAGGATGTGAGCCTCATGACTGCCAGTGGCCAAGGCAACCTCTGTCTTCTTTAATATAAAAAAAGATGGGACCTCCCATCTCCCTTTCTCCCCCACCTTCCAGGGGTTCTGAATTGGCTAGACTGCAGTTGCCCTGAAGCACACACACTGCTCAGTAGCTGCAGGGTGACCTTGATCAACATTGACTTTCTCTGACTCTTGTTTCTTTTGGCATGGAGTAACCCGGCTTCCTAGTCTTGGAGGCAGAATCCTTCCTGACATCGGCTATAAACCTGAGCATTGTTCTGGGGGAGAGTGCAGAGCTCAGGTGCTTTCCAAATGCTGTCTGAGGATAGCTGAGAATTCTCACTTGGGTGGTTTTTAAGTTTGCTAACATCAGGGGGAGCCAGGAATACTGAGATTTGGATGCTTGGAATTCCCTCTTTCATGCTCCCCGCCTTTGCAGTGGTGTGAACCATCCCCTCCCCCATCTCTGCAGCAAGGCTCCTCCCGGAGGGGGAGGGGAAGGGATCTTCTCTTTTAGGCTAGCCCTTCACCCAAGCAGAGCATCCAAGGATATATGTCCCCACCGGCTGGCCTCTGTCTTTCCACCAGGATCAACTCTTGGATGTGGGGTGTTCCCTTTCAGGAGATTAAAACCAATTTCCGATTTCTGCTGGAAGATCTGAGAACCCGGAGCCAGCTGGTGACAGAGGCCAATGTATGGCTTCCATTGGCTGGGGAGCTGCTGTGCCTGAGGATGAAGTCAGGTAGAGGAAGGGGCAAAGGGCTGGTACACAGGCCTTGTGCTCCCCTGTGACCTTGGATTCTTCGGAAACCTACAAGGAAGTTACCATGGCTGCATTGTAACTGATCACCCCCACAGCTTTCATGCCTGGTGAGATCACAGGAGTATTAACTTCTTCACAAGCCTGCAGACCCCAGCTGAGCATTAGGTATCATGTAGATTTCCAACCTGCACCCCTCAGTACACCAGCTCCTTTATTAAGGAGCTCTGCCAGGCACTGGCACCAGGCATGGGACCTTACTTTCTCCCAAGTGGTTTATGGATCAAGTTGAGAGAGAGTCTATTTTTCAAAGCCAAATAGACTAAATTTGAATCCTGCCACTCACTAACGGCTTTGGACGAGAGTGACTTGACTGTCATAGGATGGGATGGATTAACGTGTTGGTCCATCTTCAACCAACGTGTCACTTTCCAAATCTGAGCATTGGAACCAAGTTCAAATGTGCCTAACCCTGTGCCCTGGTTCCTCCCCTGTTCAGTGAGGTTAGACCGACTGTCAGAGGCGGCCAAGGTGAATACAGATGCCATGCGCTCGGCGCAGGAGGAGATAACTGAGTACCGGCGGCAGCTGCAGGCCAGGACCACGGAGTTGGAGGCGCTGAAAAGCACCAAGGATTCACTGGAGAGGCAGCGCTCTGAGCTAGAAGACCGTCACCAGGCAGACATTGCGTCCTACCAGGTGAGCAGGGGGAAACTGAGTTACTTCCTTTCTTAGAGAAGGACCTTGGACTCTGAGTCTGGCACATTATTTTTTGTTGTGTGACCTGGAGACTTTATCTGCCTATCTGACTTAAAATTCTTTTTCTAAAGGAAAAACAAGAACAAAGACCACTGGGTTGCAGAGCTGTGAAGGTCACCAAGCAGGGGCAAATAGCTCCATGGTAGAGTTCTTGCCTTCCTGCTATGCATGAGGTCCTGGGCTCCATCCTAGAACCTAATAAATAATTTTCTACTTAGATATAAATGCTCAGCATAATCTCGACTAGAGTAGGTAATCTATTACAGCCACCAGCATGTGTGGGTGTGGTCTGGGGGGCAGCTTTGTCAGATTTCTTCGGTGAAAAGCAATCTGGGAGACAAGTGTACTTTCTTAGACGCTCATAAACAGGTAAATGTGATGATTACAGACACGTTGGGAACTGGAGAAACAGCACACAGGAGACCAAAGGGAGTTGTAAAGTCTCACGTTAAGCAGTGCTCCAGTGGGAAGGAGTCTCGGCCCTGTTGGTGTGCCTCTGGGGACCCTCCAGCTTGCCAGGTAGTCAGAGAGCAGACACCTGCCAAGCAGTGACACTTGCAGGCACTTTTGGTAAGAAGAGAAAACAAAGCAGCTAAAATTGCTCTCTCCAGGGTCCTGTGTGTGATGCTACACCTCAGCCCGTCCACTGGGCTACACCTCAGCCGTTCACGGAGCACTTTCTAAGACAAATGTAAAAATTCACCCATCATTTTACTGTCAGTTGTGTATCATTCCAGATCTTTCCTCGGGCTGAGATTTCTCATCCAGATTTCTCCATGCCTGTACATGAGTAGCTTGCAGTTTTGACAGGGTGGGGCTTTGTCCCCAGCGAGGTGGCTGAGCAGGGTGGCCCCAGCGTCTCTGGCACTGAGGGGCAGGTACCGACTGGCAGATGACTTGCCTGACCTGTCACCCACAGGATGCTATCCAGCAGTTGGACAGTGAGCTGAGAAACACCAAGTGGGAGATGGCAGCACAGCTCCGAGAGTACCAGGACCTGCTCAATGTCAAGATGGCCCTGGACATTGAGATTGCTGCTTACAGGTGAGACAGCCCAGAGTGCTGAGTGGTGTAGAGCCCTGTCTTCTCAGAGCCTCGAGGCAGCATAGAGCCCTGTGTGTGTTCCAATTGAAGTAATAAGCCTCCAGTTTCAAGTTGTGTTTGGATAGCCTGCTACTTTTTAGAGACAAACCTTTTTGGTTTTTTTTTTTTTTTGTCTTTTTTTTGAAACAGATCTTACTATGTAGCCCTGTCTGGCCTTGAACTCACTATGTAGACCAGGCTGCTCTATAGCTCTTAGAGACCTAGAGACCCACCTACCGCAGCCTCCCAAGTGCTGGGACTAAAGGTGTGCACCTCCTCAGCCTACCTAAAACAAAAGTATTCTGTGTGTGTGTGTGTGTGTGTGTGTGTGTGTTCTCTCCTTCCCCTCTACATGGCTTCTGGGGATTGGATTCAGGCATTCAGGGTTATGCAGCAGGCATTGCTACCCACATGGCCATCTTACCAGCCAAAAGTATTTCAGTTGTGAACTTGAACCTGTAAGGGCTCATCTGTCCCTCCAATCCTCATTATAGTAAAATATATTTTAATGCTATATAATAGGTAAGATGGTTCAATGGGTAAAGGCACATGCTATCTGAGGGCCTAAGTTTGATCAGCAGAATCTATTGCAGAAAGATAACTGATACCTGAAAGTTGTCATGCATGCACACATGTACTCACACCCATGCACACATACAATAAATTTTTAAAAGTTTTAAAATCTATATCTTAAAATTCGCCATTTAACCATTTCAAATAAACAGTTCAGCGTATTAAGTACATTTGCATATACAGCACTGATCCCCATCCATGTCCAGAGCTATTTTTACCATCCCAGATTCAAACTGCATAGTCCTTATAAGATTCCTCCTTGTCCGCTGTCCTCAGCCCCTGACAATTATTCTACTTCCCAAGAGGCAGAAATCTTGAAGCTGGGCCGGGCGTTGGTGGTGCACGCCTTTAATCCCAGCACTCGGGACGCAGAGGCAGGCAGATCTCTGTGAGTTCGAGGCCAGGGCTGGACCGACAGCCTCCAAAACAATACAGAGAAACCCTGTCTCGTAAAACCAAGAAAAAAAGAAAAAGGAAAAAAAAAAAAGAAATCTTGAAGTTGACTTATTTTCTTTTAATTACATTTTATTTATTTATATGTGTATGTGTGTGTGCCTGCATGCACACACATAGAGATTAGAGAGTGTGTGTGTGTATGTGTGTGTGTTTGCACGCACACATATATGAAGGTCAGAAGACTTTGGGGAGTTGGTTTTTTGCTTCCACCATGTGGATCCTGGGTATAAAAATTATTAGGTCCTTGTGCTCAGTGGTAGGTATACTTACCTGTTGAGCTATCTCATCGGCTTACGAGTGACTTGTTTTCTTTTGACTGTGACTCCTAATTTAAAGACCTTTATCTACCCCAAAGCTAGTCAGAGACTTGCTTTGGAGGAAAAGAGGGTTAGGTAGTCAGGGACCATTACAAACTCATCCTTAGCTCACTAGGCCTTCATTCCTTGCAAAAATAAATGGAGATGACCGAAACAGCATGCATACTACGGGCTGTTGGGAGGCTCAGCCAGTCTTGTTCATAGGGAAATCTGGCTGACACAGGTTCTTCTGGGCAGTCGTGCTCACTGAATGGGGACCATGAGAAGACCAGTCCCTAAAGGTGAGCCCTCCCAGTCTAGCAGGCCTCTTCTGGTTGGTGACCCTCGGCTGTGTCTACCTCCTGGCTCTGGTCAAATCTTGCTACTCAGTGCAGTGCACTAGCCAGGAATTAGAGTGATCCTTGAGTTAGAAAGACAGGCCCAGGCTGCTGGATTGAGATCTGTAGTTTAATAAGAGCCAGGGTAATCTGTCAGCTGTTATATTTGGAAAACACTGTTCCAGGGGAAACCCCTGTATTTCTCTAGGCAGACCCTCTGCCAAGCTCTTGACATTCACTATCTCACAGAAACAGCCCTCTGAGGTAAGGACTCTGGTGGTCATCTCTCTACGAGGTAAGGGAGGCCTTAAGAGTCTGGGTAGCTCAGGTAAGCTCACATCTAGTGAGTAGCTCAATGAGAGGAGAAATCCCAACGAATGGCTGCAAAAGGTGATGGGACAACTCTAAATGGCAATATTCCAAAACCTCTCAAACTAGATGTATAAGTATCGGCTTACTTGTCCTCAGCTTTTTTCTTTCAGTCATGGGAGGGATTCATTTTTCATTTTAGTGTGTGTGTGTGTGTGTGTGTGTGTGTGTGTGTGTGTGTGTGTGGGTGTGTGCGCGTGTGCGCACAGCATGCATGTGGAGGTTATGTACAACTTTCAGTAGTCATGTCTCTCTTTTTCCAAACCCAGGACCAGTAATATACCAATGAGCCATACCCCTAACTCTCCAACTTTCTCTTGAATTGGGTTTCAGTTGAGAGGCAGTAAGTGTAAGTTTTGTTAATGTAGGAGTTTTCTATTGAGGACCATTCTTTAGGGAGATGTTTCCTCCTATAAATAGCAGTGCAGCCCCCTGAGGATCAGGCTCTGTGGGTGGTCACCAGAACACTTTGTTAAGTAAAAGTCTCCATTTTCAAAGTGCTTCCTGCTGAGGCTGTGACCCAGTGGAGAGTGTGTGTTTAGGATGACCAGCACCAGAAAAGTTAAGTAAAGAGAGCAATAAGGAAAGAGAGAGGAAGGAAAGAAGAAGAAGAAAAAAAAGGGAACGAAAACAAAATTCCTGTCATTCATTCATATCATTCATTCACAAAACCCTGTCATTAAATGCAGTGGGGTTTCCGGAAAACCAAGGAAGATTCCAAACCTGCATATGTGCTCTGAGTTAATGGTGTGTTTCATTATCCATTCTGCAGAAAACTCCTGGAAGGCGAAGAGTGTCGTATTGGCTTTGGTCCAAGTCCCTTCTCTCTTACTGAGGGACTCCCAAAAATTCCCTCCACATCCACTCACATAAAAGTCAAAAGTGAAGAGAAGATAAAAGTGGTAGAAAAATCAGAGAAGGAAACTGTGATCGTCGAGGAGCAGACAGAAGAGATCCAGGTGACTGAAGAAGTGACAGAAGAGGAGGAAAAAGAGGCCAAAGAGGAAGAAGGAGGAGAAGAAACGGAAGAGGGAGAAGTAACATCTCCTGCAGAAGAGGCCGCATCTCCAGAAAAGGAAACCAAGCCGCCTGTGAAGGAAGAGACCAAATCCCCAGCTGAGGTAAAATCTCCAACTGAGGTAAAATCTCCAGCTGAGGCCAAGTCACCTGCTGAGGCCAAGTCACCAGCTGAGGTAAAATCTCCAGCTGAGGCCAAGTCACCAGCTGAGGTAAAATCTCCAGCTGAGGTCAAGTCACCAGCTGAGGTAAAATCTCCAGCTGAGGCCAAGTCACCAGCTGAGGTAAAATCTCCAGCTGAGGCCAAGTCACCTGCTGAGGCAAAGTCACCAGCTGAGGCCAAGTCACCTGCTGAGGCAAAGTCACCAGCTGAGGCCAAGTCACCTGCTGAGGCCAAGTCACCAGCTGAGGCAAAGTCACCAGCTGAGGCCAAGTCACCAGCTGAGGCAAAGTCACCAGCTGAGGTAAAGTCACCTGCTGAGGTAAAGTCACCAGCTGAGGCAAAGTCACCAGCTGAGGCCAAGTCACCTGCTGAGGTAAAGTCACCAGCTGAGGTAAAGTCACCAGCTGAGGCAAAGTCACCAGCTGAGGCAAAGTCACCTGCTGAGGCAAAGTCACCTGCTGAGGTAAAATCTCCAGAGAAAGCTAAGACCCCTGTGAAGGAAGGAGCAAAATCCCCAGCTGAGGAGTCCAAGTCCCCTGTGAAAGAAGTGAAGTCCCCAGCTGAAGTAAAATCTCCAGAGAAGGCGAAGTCCCCAGTTAAGGAAGAAGCAACATCTCCAGCCCAAACCAAGTCTCCAGAGAAGGAAGAAGCGGTCAAATCTCCTGAGAAGGCCAAGTCCCCTGTGAAGGAAGAGGTCAAGCCTTCAGCTGAGGTGAAATCCCCTGACAAGGCTAAGAGCCCAGTGAAGGAGGAATCAAAGTCTCCTGAGAAGGCCAAGACTCTAGATGTGAAATCCCCAGAAGCTAAGACTCTAGGGAAGGAGGAAGCAAAGTACCCCAGAGACATCAAGTCTCCTGAGCAGGCCAAAAGTCCTGCCAAGGAGGAGGTCAAGTCCCCTGAGAAGGTCAAGTCCCCTGAGAAGGAAGATGCCAAGAAAGAAGAGGTGAAGTCCCCTGTGAAGGAGGAGGTGAAAGCCAAAGAACCCCCAAAGAAAGTAGAGGAAGAGAAGACCCCTGCTACCCCAAAAACGGAGGAGAAGGTGGTCAAGAAAGATGAACCACCCAAGAAGGAAGCTGCAAAGCCCAAGGTGGAGGAGAAGAAGGAAACCCCAGTCGAAAAGCCCAAGGACTCCACAGTGGAAGACAAGAAGGAAGAGTCTGGAGAGAAGAAGAAAGCAGTGACCCCAGAGAAGGAGACTCCTGCCAAGGTGGAGGCGAAGGAAGAGGCTAAATCCAAAGAGAAGACAGAGACCAAGACGGAAGTGGATGACACCAAGGGCAAAGAGCCCAGCAAACCCTCAGAGAAGGAGAAGCCGCAGCAAGAAGAGACGCTGGCAGCCCCAGAGAAGAAAGACAGCAAGGAGGAGAAGGCCACAGAGTCCAAGAAGCCTGAGGGGAAGCCCGAGGCAGGGGCCAAGGCCAAGGAGGATGACAAGGGCCTTCCCAAAGAGCCCAGCAAACCCAAAACAGAAAAGGCTGAAAAATCCTCCAGCACAGACCAAAAGGACGGCCAGCCCCCAGAGAAGGCCACCAAGGGGGAAAAGTAGGGCCGTGACAGAGGAAGATCCAGGAACAGCCAAAGAAACTCAGGAGGGTCCCAGTACTCAAGAGTCACAGTAATACATTTTATTTCTTCCTTTCCTTTCTGTAAGGAGAAACACTGTTTAGATGATGGGCCTGCCCTCACCAAACAGGAATTTCTATTAGGATTAAGTTAGCAAGAGAAGATACCCTCAGCCCTGGCCCCCAACGCCCCAAGCCCGCCCCAGGTGATGGACAGTTATGATAGCTTATTGTAGCCGAACGTGATGTATGCTGAATGCTACATGAAAATCACTTGACTAAAAACTGCCCCCTCCTTTCCAAATAAGTGCATTTATTTCCTGTATGTACAACTGACAGATGACCGCAATAATGAATGAGCAGTTAGAAATGCATTATGCTTGAGATGTTGTAACCTATTCCCGAATGCCTTCTTGTTTTCCAAAGGAGCGGCCAGGCCCTTACCCAGCACTCTCCGGGAAGAGCTGCAGCAGGTAATGTAGGGCACTGGCCACTGAGCACTTTCCACTGGAGTCTACTCTCAGTTGCTTCTGTGCAATAAAACCAAGTGCTTCTACAATAAGATTGCGGCTGTTCTTGTCTGTTCTCTTCCCCTGGGAAGGCTAGGAGCAGGGGCAGGAGGTCTAGACATCACACCAGATCTGTGCCAGTGGCCTGGGGCACATTCCTCAGTATGGTTTATGGATCACCTTCACCAGCATCGCCTGGGAGCCACAGACCCCTGACCCCACACGGTTGATCGACATCACAATTTGAGAGGTAGCATAGGGAAAGTACACACTTTGCCAAACCCCAGTTCAGCCTAGTGAACACTGGTGCCTCGGAACAGTGAGCCCCAGGAGGATGTCGAACGGCCCATGGACTCTGCATGTTAGATGAAAAGTACCTAATTTATATCCAGTGTGCTTCTCTGGGCATGGATTTTATTTTCTCGGCACCCCACTCCCACCTCTTTTATATTTTTATTTTGAGACAGTGTCTTGCTTAAATGCCCAGGTTTATCTTGAACATGTCTCTCCCTCCCGAATATCTGGGGTTACATGCATGTACCACTATCCCTGGCTTTGGAAGTAATTTTGAAAGCTGTGGTCCTCCTACAGGTTTCCATGGCATCCTCACTGTTAAATCATTGACAGTACTGGCATGAACCCTTATTCTGCTTGCTCAACAAGCTCTCGAAGGAGTTGCCTCTTGCCCTCCACCCTCACCCCTGCCAGGTGGTTCTCAGCTATCATGTTTCTGATTTTCCTACCTCTGGCCATTCTGATGATTGCTCCAGAATGGCCAATGAAGTTATCTATCTTCTGGGATTTTAAACTTGGCACCACAGTGGTTGGTATGGAAATGTAAGTAGGAGCTGTGGGCAGCCATGTTTCTAGACCTATGGTGGGGCAGTCTGAGAGAAGGTGAAATGAACAGGAATTCTTAGAGAGCCGTGGTGGGTTTCCTGATGATCCAATCCACTGCTTGTGGCCAATCCTTGAGGTGATAAATCCCCTTCTTTACCACAACTCTTTGGGTTAAGACATTGCTTACAAACGGAAGGGTTTTGAATAATACAGTGACTGATGGGGTAGTTGCTATAGTAGAAACTAAATGTGATACCTCAGGGAATGAGCAAGTGTCCCCTCTCACCATACCCCCAAATTCTGGTCAACACTCCAGGATAGGGTCCACATACCATCTTTGGCACCCATCTCCATCTGTCACAAAAGAATGCCAAGGCAGTTTAGAGTGATCACCTTTATATATATATTTCCTCAATATGTTTTTATTTAAATTAGAAACATGAATGCTTCACATGTCAATCCCAGCTCCCTCTCCCACCCCTCCTCCCTTGTCCCTCTACCAGACCCCCAGACCCTCACCCCATCCCCACATCATTCCCCAGGGAGGGTGAGGTCCTCCTTGGGGGATTTCTAAAGTCTGTCATTTTATCCTGAGCAGGACCTAGGCCCTTTCCCATGTGTCCAGGCTGAGAGAGCATCCCTCTATTTGGAATGGGCTCCCAAAGTTCATTCATACACCATGGTAAACACTGATCTACTACCCATGGCCCCAGTGATTTCTGTGGCCTCCTCCCTGGCATTACATTCATGGAGTCTGGATCAGTTCCCTGTTGGCCTCTCAGCCATCAGTCTGGGGTTCAAGAGCTCCCCCTTGTCCAGTCTTTGTGGGTTTCACCAACACAGTCTTGACCCCTTTGCTCATCACTCCTCCATCTCTGTCACTAGGTTCCAGGAGTTCAGTTCAGTGTTTAGCTGTGGGTATCTGTCTTTGCTTCCATCAGTCCCTGGATGAAGGTTCTAGGATGGCATATAGTGTATTCATCAACCCTATCATCAGGGAGGGGCTATTAGTGTAGTCTCTCCACTATTGCTTAGTTTGCCAGTTGGTGTTATCCTTGTAGATCCATGGAGATCTCACTAGTGTCAGATCTCTCCTCAAGCCTATAATGACTCAATCTATTATGGTATCTCTCATCCTGCTCTCTTCTATTCTTACCTCGACTCCACCTTCCTGCTCCCCCATGCCTTCTTCTCCCTTCCTCTTATCCTTTTCTTGGTTCCCTCTCCCTCTCTCGATGTTCCCAATCAGCTCAGGAGATCTTGCCTCATTCCACTTCTCTGGAGTATCATGCATCTCTCTTGGGAATATCCCTGTTTCCCAGACTCACTGGCATTGGGATTGTAGGCTGACACTCCCTGGATCCATATCTAAAATCCATATATGAGTGAGTACATACCATGTTTGTCTTTTTGTGTCTGGGTTACCTCACTCAGGATGGTTTCCTCTAGTGCCTTCCAAAAAAATATTTTTGACACAGTCTCATGTATCCTAGGGTTACCTCTAACTTGATATGTTCCCAGATGATTGAGTTCCTGCTTTCATCCACTGAGGGCTATGATTATGGGCACACACCATGGGCCCTGGCAAATATTTCTTATCTACATGGACAAGGACTCTGAAAACTGAGTATTGATTGTCTGAGCTGTCTGCCCTGGAGCACTCAGACATCCTTATGCCCTTGCACATAGCCACATCCGAACATAAGGTGGAGATCAGAGAGGCAGGAAACACAATCAGTACTTCCCAGCCTCTCTCCCAGCCTCCTGAGTACTGTTATTACAGGCATGGGCTGCCTCACCTGGCTCTCGCCTAAAAAAAACGTCTGAACACCCCAAAATTTCTTATAGTGAAGTACCTGATGGGGGATGTCCTTCTGTATATATGTTTCTCTTACTGGTTGATGAATAAAACACTGATTGACCAGTAGAGGCAGGAATATAGGAGGGACTAGGAGATGAGAATTCTGGGAAAAGTCAGCAGAGACCTCAATGAGACACCAAGACCACGTGGATTAATAAATTAATAGAAATGGGTTCATAATTAAGACAGAGCTAGTCAATAAGAAGCCCTAGCCATTCGCCAATAGTATATAAATTGATATATGTTTCTGTGTGCTTATTTGAGGCTGAAAGGGCAGCAGGACGTGGGACAAGAAATACAGCTACAAGTACCATGTTAAGAAATAACCATATTACGTAAATGATCTGTGGTCTGTGTGGGCCTCATTCTTCTGAGATGGGGCCTTGAGTAGTTCAGCCTAGCTTCTAATTCGCTACGTGGAGAATGACATGGAACTCATTGATCTTTCTTCCTTAATCTCCCAAGTGCTGGGTTTCCGGGTGTGTACCACCACCCCTGGTTTATGTAGTCCTAAGGATCAAATCTGGTGTTTATGCTCTCTATCAGTGGAACTATATCCTTAATCCCATTTTTCAAGGTGAATAAAAAAGTCCAGATTAACCAATAATAGTTTTTTAAAAAGATTTATTTATTATGTATACAGTGTTCTACCTGCATGTATGTCTGCAGACTATAAGAGGGCACCAGCTCTCACTACAGATGGTTGTGAGCCACCATGTGGTTGCTGGGAATTGAACTCAGATCTTCTGGAAGAGTAGCCAGTGTTCTTAACCTCTGAGCCATTTCTCCAGCCCCACTAGAACATCTTAAGTGACTCCAAGGTGTGTTATTAACTGAGGTGCTGCAAAAGTTCCAGTCTCTTGGGATGTAAGAGATTTTCAGAATATTGCAATACCACTGGTAAGTGTTAGAACCAGAATTCCACTCTAGAATTTTTAAAGTTACTAGAACCAGAATTCCACTCTAGAATTTTTTAAAAGTTACTAGAGTTAATAAAATTTATATTCAGCAAAGCTTCAGGGTACAGATCGACACGCCAATAACACATAAGTAAACTGGGTGTGTGATGCACACTTGTAATCCCAATACTCCAGAGGTTGAGGTGGGAGGATTAAAAGTTCTTGGTCATTCTAGCACTACATAAGAAGTTGGAGGGGTTGGAGAGATGACTCAGTGGTTAAGAGTACTTGTTGCTCTTGCAGAAAAACTCAGGTTCCATTCCCAGCTCCGACATGGTGACCTATAGCTGTCTGTATATAGCTCTGATCTCAGGGCATTTGATGCCCTCTTCTGGCCTCCACAGGCACTAGGCAAACAGGTGCAGATAGAACATTCACACACATAAAATAAAATAAAACAAAAATAATTTTTAAAAAGTTGGAGACAGGGTTGGAAAGATAACTCAGAGGTCAAGAGCACTGACTACTCTTCCAGAGGTCCTGAGTTGAATTCCCAGCAACCTCATGGTGGCTCACAGACATCTGCAATCTTAAAAAAAAAAAAGTTGAAGACAGTTGAGACCTATCTGAAAAAATTAAAAGGAACAACTGAGTCTATTTTATGTCTACTCATTATTAGTAATGAAAATGACACACTGAACACACTGGACACACCAGCAATGAACAATCTGAACAGGTTTTTTGTTTGTTTGTTTTTAGATAGGGTCTCACCTGTAATCCCAGCTGACCTAGAACTTACTATGGAAACCAGGTTGGCCTTGAACACAAAAAGTTCTACTGTGTCTACCGTCCAAGCACTGAGATTAAAGGGGTGTGTTTCCACATCTGACTGAACAGAGAACTGAAATAATTTATAATAGCATTAAAAGAGCCACTTGCAAAGACAAGTAGATCAATGTGAGTGTAAGAGGACAGCCCAGCCTACACAGTGAGTTTCAGTCTTAAAAAAGGGAATCCATTAAGTTGAAAGACACCCTGTACCTGTGTATCACAACACGTAACACTTGATTTTTGCTTTCTTGAGACAGGGTCTCACATAGCAGATTGCCTCAAACACTACATGGACAAAGATGGCCTTTTAGTCCTGTTTCTGCCTCCATTTCCCAAGTGCTGGGGTTTCAGTATGCACCACACACCCTGCTTTTAATATTGTTTAAAGGGCAATTTACAGATTCACTACAGTCCCTACCAAAACTCTCATGCCTGGCTTAGTGGGTAAAGGCACTCACAGCTACGCCTGATGAGCCTGAGTTTGATCCTCAGGACCCACAAGTTGGAGGGAAAGAACAAACTCTTTTTTTTTTTTTTTGTTTTTTGTTTTTTACGAGACAGGGTTTCTCTGTATTGTTTTGGAGGCTATAGGTCCAGCCCGGCCTCGAACTCACAGAGATCC